TAATTGTTAATTCCTTAATCCTTAGATAATAAAATACCTTTATTTTTAAGATATCCGGCATAAAATAGACATGATTAAATTATTGTTTTGCATAGTATCAATACTGAGACCAAAAGATTAGTTGAGCTTAGAAGATTAAGAGTCACATTTTGCTATAACTTGTCGTTTGAATGCTTATTGTCTTGGCTCTTTTAATGCTACTTTTTGTATCTGATCGTCGCTGATTGTTATGTCGGAAACGCTTATCACTTATACTCGGAACGAAGGACCTCTGCAATTCCCACGATGCGAAAGTAAGAACACAAAGAAAATACACTCATTTATATATTGATTGTACACCCATTTTTGACTAATAATCGGGATGAAATCACATATATGAAAAATACTTAGAGTTATAACAAATCACATAGTGAGCATAGTTTATGTAAATCGAATACAAGAATATCGTACATTATACGGGAAGAAAACAAATACCACATTAAGTGATCATTACATTGAATCAAAACGGAAGTAATCTTGAAGAAAATTTATAATGAGTAAATCAATCGGAAATTGACTTTTCTTTTCATCATATCACATTTTAACTGACACATATAAAGAAATCTGTTTGTTTAATAATTTTTCCTTTTTCTCCCTATGTGATTATCCCAGATAGAAATGATTTGATCTGTCTTTCTAGTACAAAGTATACCTTTTAATTATGTTCTTTTCTTTTAAAACGAATTAAATTCATTCATGCGATTAAAAGACTTATCATTTGTATATTTTAGTTTGGTTAAAATTTGTACGATACATTTAAACAAGGAATGAACATTTGAATGTGAAAATATTAGCCAGTAGGCATTCACAATACAAAAATAATATCTTATATTTTGAGGGCATATACACAAGTGAGTAGTAAGAATTATATTACAACTGATGAATATCCTTTTTGTGAATGACACATGGAGGCTGGCTAAATTTCGATTACATCAAGACCACCATTAAATTACTGTAGACCAACATCCAGAGACATCTATGAAGCAACCCATCATACTACTATATTAAACAAGTCTATTAGTTGTATGCATCACTAAGAAAAAGAAAATACATTTCTTACCGTTTTTTGATTGATCTCCAAGACGTAGATAACAATAACCGATTTAATTATGTTATCGAATAAATTCCTAAATAACTTCATGATCAATAGAGTCTGACTTATTGAGACTAATATATATTCATTACAAAATTTATACTCTGGTAACTAACCCAAAAATCACTAACATTTTAACTTATTACTATTTGTTTTCTAAAAACAACAACATTTAACTGAATTTACTTGGTTACTTTACTATCAACAGAATACATTACTATTGATTACATAACAATATTTGACTAATGTATACTTAGGTATGTATATATCCACACAGATCATAACGCATAAAAGTATTCAATTGTTAAATGATTATTGATTCCTTTTTTAATGTTTGTTTACATTTTGTTCACATGTTCTTGGATGTTAATTTGGCTTACAAATAAACAAAGGAAGATGATGAGTGAATCAGAAAGAAAAAAAAAGAAGGTAAAATATTTACCTAATTTGAATATCAGATAACTGTCCATTATTTAAATAGATAGTCATGAATTATTTCGATGAAAAGAGAAAAAACAAAACTTCTATTTTGTCATCATAATTGGTCCAATTGAATGTAATTGAAAATAAAATGTTGTTACATAATCATATATTACTTTAATCAGATATCAGTAGAATAATGACTGATTGATTGACTACCTATCAGTAGTTTATATTATATTGACATGAGCTTTGCCGTTTACTTTGCATTCAAGTATTTTCGGAATCATTAATTTCTCTTATTTTTTTTTTTGGAATAAATATTAACGTTAACTTTTGTTAAACATTTAATTAATTGAATAGGCTTTTGCATAATAATTTGGACATTAATCTTACAGCACATACATAAAGTTACAAATTATGTGTTTAGCGGGATTACTTACTTACTTACGCCTGTCACTCCTAACGGAGCATAGGTCGCCGACCAGCATTCTCCAACTCACTCTGTCCTGGGCCTTCTTTAGCGGGATTACCATTTGATAATGGTTAGAAAAAAGTCTACAATGCCAATTACTAAAACAAATAATTATATGTCTATTCAATAAAGGTATTATTATAATGAATTGACTAAATATCTAAGGCTCATCTTGTTCTCGAAATCGACTGGAACCAAACAACATAATAATTTATAAATAATATACATAGAGAGGTGAGAGAACAGATATTTTATCCATCCAATTTAGTTCTCATATAGCTTGTTTTAAGAATTGCGTTTGTTTATGTAATTATCTGACTCCTTGTTAAGCAACGATGTTGTTTTATGTGTGATGATGTCACAGTTTACCTTGATATGCCCAGAGATTCTAATCAACATCATGTACTATATTACCAGTTAGACCGGTGACCTATTTGTCAAGGTTACACAATGAATATCAATCAAGGCCTTAACATTTGTTGGTCCTAGAGCCCCTGCTAATCCAATTGCTAATAAGAAGATGAAGATAGGTGGCAGATTAATCCTCTCTTTTGTTTAGTTCAATTATGACTCAAAACTCATACAATTATTTATCGGAAATGCCTGACCACACAGAACACCAAATAAAAGATCACACTTTAAGGGCCATCATGCTATAAGTGTGGAGCGAACCGTACATAATTAGAGGATAGTAAAACGTATATCAACAGGCAGTAGGTCCACCGAAAGCTTACAATAAGGGCAATATAGATATAACCATACGGTTATTGACTGGTTTTACAGTAAACATTTTCAAAAATAGCCACAAAAGTTTCAACTTCCCTAATACTCGCTGCCTCATAACAGGATATACTTCACACTAGAAGTAGTGTCAACTCGAACATAGTTCATTTTAACAAACCGAATACGAGTTTCTATGTTGATCGTCGACTAAATGTTGTTGAGTTATCACCAAGATATAAAATAATAGAAGCTGCAGAAGCCCCGTCGTATTTACGGCCTTAGAAGTATTGGTTTTGAAATAAATTCATAACTTCTGTCAAAAAGCAAAAATATGCGGTGAAGAAAATATTGTTTTCGATTATTTCATTCTCAAAAACTGTACAATCCCACCTACGTAGGATAACAAAAGCCATCAATAAGTTTTGTATATATTCAAATAATGAGTGAAAATCATAGTGTTGTGGAGTTTGTAATTGTTATTTTAGTTTACAATCCGTTAAATTAACGTTTAAGTTACGTACATAGAATAGTCATAATCAGTCAATCAATTATCAACATCGTAGGGGCTGATGAAAATATGTATCGTTTCAAATCAGCTATGTTAGGAAATTAACAAGGTAAAACGGGGATGAATGGAAGTAATTGTTTTAGATAATTAAGTGGAATAAATTTGATCACGAAACGTTCCTTACATCACAAGAACTCTTATTTATGTAAAATACAGATTTGTTTAATCATGGAATGTGATTTGATTTTCACAACTTAAAAAGCTAATCGTCATAATGAAAAAAAGCGTCCTAAAACTGAAGCTTGGGGGAAAAACGGATAGTCGTCACTTCCACGACTCTCGAAGGGTTTAAAGGTTAGAGTAGAACCAAAGAACTTATAACATTATGACTAATAAATTTTACTTCAATTATTGAGAGCATTCATCAACATCCGTGGCGTATTTTAGTGTGAAGAAACAAAGTATTATCAAATAGACATTCACAAGTACTTTAGTAGATGCAGCTTTAACAGTTAATGCACGAGGATATAATCATTATCATCGTGAAATAAGTGTAACTAAAGGATATCACTAACGTGTGATAACGAAATACCTAAGCATGTATATAGAAAAATAGGGATATGATTAATATTCTGATTGGATAGAATCAAGAGATTGTTAAACCAGTGATTTTCGAAGCTGTTTTCGTACATAAAGTGATGGGTAGAACGAACTGGTCACCTCTATAAGTATTTCTAATTTAAAAGAATAATTTTGGAGATACTATGCAAACGTTGAATTTCTCTAGAAAGATACTGAAGACTCGACGAATAAACCATCGTTTGTTTTGGATTAGTTGAGGATAAGAAAAAAAAGACTTAGTATGGTGGGATAGTTAAGTTATTGTTGTATTTCATCTTCATCAACCTCAGAGTATGTAACATTCCCAAGCTAATTAATTCACGTAACGCAACACAAAGGAATCAAATAGACCACAGTGAGTGGCAAGTAGAACTATATATATATACTGTTAGTTACGTGTATTATCTTGACTAGCCAACAAATAATATATATGGGTAATGGTAACCGATGATTTTATAGTCCTGTTAAAAACAGCACGGATACTTGACGTACACTTTAAGCTATATTGGATTTTTTTCAAATGGCTAGAATTACTGGTTTCGAACGGCTACACAACATTTCTGATATGTCCCGATAAGCATAGTGAATGGTAACTTTTGGGATCCATTTATGGACCAATACTAAAAGTATATTTTTATCGTATAATTGTTAATTAATTAAACTATTCATATCTCTCTTATCATAAGCTTTATTTTAACCTATAAACTGTTATTATACAATTTACCATCCTTGAATTATCCCCTATCTATTAATCACTACCTCCCACATTCACAGCAACATTTGGCTAATTCTTGTACAAATGTTTTTTTCATATTTGATGGTACGGTATGGTCTCTCTGGTTAGTATATAAACCCAGTATGCTTGAAATAAATGATTCATACTGCAGAGGCTGAGATTGGAGTTCTGGACTTAACAGGCTGCGCTAGGCAGGAAGCAAGACCAATCAGGACTCTAGACTGCTCGCACGTGTATTACGCGTCATTGGTCCAATCGGTAATTCTCTGCTCTCTGATCGGCGGTATCGTTACGTTATACATTAACAGGGCACTGAGGCCATAAGTTATAAAAACTTCTTTAATAACCTTTCGCCTTAATAAATAGATTTCAAGGAAGAACATTTTTGGTGTTTAAAGAAATTTTATTATTAATCATTAACCTATAGGGAGATATTATAAAATTGATTTTGCAAAGCAGATGGATTCAACGTTATTTATATACATAAGAAAAGAAAATGAAGTTGAAAATGATTCATTTTATACAAATATCCGTGAAACAAAAAGAACTAGATCCAATTTGGACTGAATAAAATTTTAGATGATCAAAACATTTTTACTGAACTGAGAAAGTGTGTGAGAGAGAAAAAAGGAGATGAAAATTTCTAGTGAAAAAAAAGCAACAACAAAATAAAACTATTCAACCGTTTTTTTGTATAAAGCATAATTAATATAAACTAGGCTGTTCATTTCGTAGTTCGTTCTTATTGTTTTGACAATGTTCTTGAAGAAGTTGTAATACATCAGTTTGAAAGTATTTTGGGGCTTCTTTTGCCTCTTTTAAAAGATACATATAGAGAAAATAGAGTAGGTGATAATTTAGAAAAGAAATATTATATAACTTTAATCCAATTACTAATACACATTACAGATAAATTAAAAAGTTGTTTACATTCAATGTATGGATGAGAAAAATAGAGAGAGAGTTAAGAATATCTCGTAAATATCGAGATCAGCTGTAGAAAAGAGGATTTTAATTAAATAAGATGTATATCATTATTATATGTAGTCTTGAATATCAACAACGCTGTAATTCGAAACCCTTGCTAATAATGATATGAACATCGTACGTGTTAAACAAATTAGTCGATTTCTGGGCTAAGCAGCCCAGTGGATAAAGTGTTGGTGCTTAAAATGAAAGGTTCTGGGTTCGAGTCCCAATGTGAACATGAATATTCGGATACAAGCACGTCCAGCTGACGAGGACTAAATGGAATGAAACGCGGATCTTGGATTTCACTCCTGACCACGTTCCACCCATTCCAAATACATGAGGTATAACTTTGAATGACGATATAACCAGTACTTGGAAATAAAGTTGAGGATATTTAACCATAATGCCGAAGTCTGACAAAGTATGAATAAATGCTTGTGATTCTAAATATTTCCTAGTAAAAAATATTTCTGAAAATTAATTCTCACAAGAGGTGTTAGTCAACTTACGTCAATATCACTGACATGGTGAGTGAGAATTAAGGATAACAGTCTGTTGTTCTCGTCAGTGACTACAAACAATGTGCACAATCGACAATATACCGATAAAGTCTTTTTCAATGAAAATACAATAGCGCAAAATCGTAACTTTTGTCCTCAACCAACACCTTTTTGATTAATTCCAAGCACCATTGAAGTTATGGTTGATGTCTAACAGATTATTTCTAATACAACTGAATTGACCATTAAATATAACGATCAATGAAATAAACAAACACTGTCATTGTCTGCTGGAATTTACTAATCAGGTAATAAACGCTACAGCTCACCCTGTCAGTCACATTTCTGACTTACCTTCTAAAAGAGGTAGATTAGATTTTGAGAAGAGGGAGCATAAGTCTCATTAACGCTTTGGATATATTTTGTTGCTTAAATGCTATGAAAAATGCTAATAACTAAATCAAGTAAAATAAAGACTAATTTTGATCTCGTTTGACATAAAATTCTGCTTGGAGCCCTTCCAGTGTTACTGCCAATTTTAAGCACGAGTAAAAAAAGAAGGCTGAGCATGAGATTAGGAATACCAACAAGTGCAAAAGAAACCTTGATTACGAGAAGAATGTTAACCACAATAATTTGCTTCAAGAAAAACACAACTTACTTGTAATCCAATAGTAAATGTCCCATTCATTGTCTGGTAGATTGATTAAACTATCATATGCAATAAGTTGTTCATGAGTCATTGAATTCAGGTATTTAGCAGCAAATGTACTATATGAAAATTACCACACAAAAAATAATTATTATTAAAAATCATGAAAAAGTCAAACCATATTAAAACACAAATTATTAGAAATTAATAATTAATACATATATCTAGTGACAACATATTGGTTATCTCTTTACATAATATTTGTGATTTATTTATAATCTAGTGTGATCAATTCGAGCGTTGAACTGATTGATTATTACACTAATCATTCATAATCACCTTTTGTTGTATTTTGTAAAAGCAGGAAAGTTCAAACTGTGGAAATATAAGTTTCAGTGGTATTAAAACGGATCAAACGCTGGCTAAACTGAAGTATATAGATTGAGCTTCAAATTCGGAGCTTATTGGATGAAAGTAGCTGCTTAACTGTTAAATCACTGCTCAAAAATTAAGACAATAGCAAGGTGAAGTAAACACATTAAACATGCAGCTTTTAAGGAATCTAGATTACAACAATAGCATTATGTACTTTTCTGTCACCATCTAGAGATTTCAGAACGTATAAGTTACGAGGACACATTTAGAGAATCTTGCGAAATAGGTAACTTACTCATACATGAAATAAAATTTGAAATCGACGAAAGTATGTGTGAACTAATCATACTGTATTGATTAAATTATTATTTTACTTATTTATTTATTTATTTTAACACATAGATATTGGTACAACGGAGCACCAAATACATATGCGCCACGCAGATCTCATTTGATATGTGTGAGGGCTGTCATACTGCGCGGGTGCCCAAACCTAAAAAATTCTATATATTTATGAGTTAAAATATTCTTCTTAAACTTCACTTGCCATGGACAGGTTTATATGGTCAGGTTGAATCAAATTTTTTCTAATGGGTAATGATACTATCTGGTTTTCCAAATAACCAAGTTCGTGGAAGAGGTGGAATTTACAATTTGCTTGTTAAAATTTGAGTGTTTTTAATATTAAATCACCGCTTTACGTTACTACAGGTAAGATTTAATTAAATGCCATTAAGTGAAACAATAGTCTGTGTCGAACCATGTTTAGTCGCATATAAAGTAGGGTTCTTTTGGGATTTTGTGAAAATTGAACTGTAGTGATCGAGATAATCAATGTATTTTGATAATTAAAATATTAGGATTCGACCGCATTTTCATCAATCATTTATGTCTATCACTAAACATTTAAAATTTTCGAGATAAATGAAAAAAATCCGTTTTGTTTTAGCCAAATGTTTGACTGTAATTACCATCTACCACATTTGAAACAACTAAGATTGTGTTGTGAATGGAACAGTTATAAACAATTGGGAAACTCTTCTAATACGTAATGAGCAAAATGGATTACTGATGCACAGCACTTAGACGACAATACGCCGAGCGGTGAAACATAAAAGCTTTGTAAGGAAGATGTATTGGTCAAGACTATAGAAGAATTAATTTACACTCAAGTTAAACCCATTATATATCGATTATTAATTGCAAAATTTATAAACTAAATAATAATTACTTAAGCACAAAAATATGGTGAATTTATAAGCAACATTAAAATAGCTACTTTAATATGGGCTGAATAAATACAAATGAAAATTCACTACAAGTGAATAAACAGAATTTACAAAAAAAATAATGCAACGAAATTATATTGAAAGTTAACTTTAGCCAATTTGCCAAGTAGAAGATTAACTTTCTTATTTATACGCTGAATTAAGAAATTTCACATCCCTGACAGATTTTCAAAAAGGACAGTTTTTTTTCGGTGTAAATTTGACTGAGCACGATTTATTGAATAGAGTTGTTCTAACAAGATGAATATCGATAAAGCTGTAACTTGTGGAACTATCTTATGAAGAATTATTGTCTATATTTTTATTGTAAAATTAATATATATTTGGATTATTGTATTTTAATATTTTCTTAACTATAACCCTTTGTTTGGTGCTTAAATTATGATTAAATTATCAGTTCCATTAGGACATATGAATAAACATCAAGATGTGATAGAAAGATTATAATGCTAGATTACGTAATGTGAGTGATTACAATAAGAGATTGTGTGTATGCAAACAGAAAGCCTTGCATAAATTATAGTTCTATTTTGTAAATCTTTCTCAAGTTTCTGTTGACTAATTACAAATCACTCACTTAATTTCTCTACGGCCTATGGCATAATTATGGGCAAATTGTAATTACCTATTTATGTTAATGTAGCCAGGAATTTACTCTACATCACTGTATGAGTTGGGTCATATTATTGGACGGTTACACAACAGGGATTTTATCTGCATGTCAATTTAGTCTTCTAATTAGACAATATGTTGGGAATATCTCGACAACTAATGAGATTATGGCCCCAGTTGTTGTTCAGTGGTCACTCGTAAAATAGGTCATCAGTCCTACAGACACTGAGAGAACTAGTTAGTAGTCGAACTAGACAATACTACTGCTTCTATAATAACCACTTGATTACAGAGGTCTCAGAACAACGCAAGAACCTGTCGGTTTTATAGCTATAACAAAACTGAGAACACAGAGGTTTTCAGGCCGAATCACAAAAGTGCAAAAGCCAAGTACTGGTTAATATTTTAATTCTATGTAATAATTATACTTATGCTGACAGATATAAGTAGTATGTAGTAACAATCGGAAGTTAAATGCCTGGCAGCAGAACATTGACATGAAGAGAAAAGAAAGGAAGTCATGGAGCGATCGAAATAACAACAGAATTGGAGGGATAATGGAGTATGTAAACGACAATTAAAAAAGATATGCAAATGATTTCTTTAATGTATGGTCTTCAGATTTTACTAAGCCACTTTGATTCTGCATTAAGTAATAAATTGGTTTTCTCTCACCTGAGTTCGCGTTCACTACTATTCCATTCACTAATATGATTGACTGGTCTGCTAACAAAAAATACAGTGATCTTGGCTGGTTGTTTATGACCACTTGTTTGCCTCCATTGTATAGTCAGACTACACACCAAAAGACCGTTATGCATTTGTTTTTTTACTTAAAACACATTTGATACTACATGACTGTGATAAAATGAATAGGCGTGCATAAGTTTACTGGTTCGATCAAAACATTATAAGGGAGAATAGTATGCAAACATAATAAAGTACCTGTTTGCGTGAACCATGATGGTTGAGTTGGGTTCAAAATTAACAAATCAGTCGTTAAAAATTGAGTTAGGACAAGAAACCACAGCTTTATGAAACGAAGGTGTTCAACAGATTCACGGCAAGACCAGAAGTGATCTTTTCTGTAAAATGTTTTCCATTTAACAGAAGTATAATACAAGCACTGAACTTAGAACAAACACTCTTCGTTTGTATGTTTCTTCAACCTAAAGATCATATAGAAACTAGAGACCGTGAATGACATGGCTCCAAATCGTTTGCAATGGCGCAAGTGCATCCACTTCTTGTGTTCTCCCAAATTATAATCTCCTGAATCCTCCTTGTCTCTTCTTTTCTCTTTCCAAATTTATTTCACTGGATTATACTCCTTAAATAACATCTTCAAGACCTAATGTTTGCGATTACTGCTTATACTCTTACCGCCTCTACCACTATGGGATTTGAATCGACAACTGCATCTGTGCTAATGTGGTGTGGCAACTCGAACTGATGTACGTACGTACGAAGTTCTACGTTGTTACTGACTGACTGATCATATAGAAACTAAACCAATGTTAGTTCCCCCCCCCCACAAACACCATTATTGAAACCAGGCTTTTTTCAAACTACCTTATTAACCGTGAATTTTTCCGGCTCAGTAAATTCAGTATGACAGAGTGGGCATATATTTGATTAGGTGATCGAATACTTTGATTCAACTATTTGCTGACCTTTAGGTACTATTTGGCAATAATAACTGATTTACAATGCAGCGTTTGATGATTGAAGTTATGCTTTCAACAGATATACTACAAGTAAATGTTTTTTAGACTCTGAGCGATGGTCAACGTCCGTAATTGTTTGTGGATTGAATGGATATCTTTCTTCAACAGACATTTTATATGATTCCGTAGGTAAAACAGTCCAACTTACTCAGGTGGACAGTCTTATCACTCGGAAGATATTATATTGTTGCCCAATACTTGTTGACGAACAACTGATGGCTTTTTTTAACAAAGAGGACTGTCAATCATGAACGTATTAAAAAAATAGGTCTGGAAAAATAAGAAAAAACATTGGTAGACTAATATTTTGGCACCTAACTTTAAATAGTCTAATTCCTTATATAATAACAACAAAAGACTATGAGTAAGCTGAAAACTTATAGAAATATATATGAATAGAATACCTCAAAAGAATTCCATTTTCCAAATTTCCACGCTTTCTACTTTGATATAATAAACGAGCTCTGCGAACATCATCTGTTTCTGTGGCAGATACTTGATTTATAGATCGAAGTTGTACGTCTTCTATAACATTATTCTGACCAAACGATGATTGAGTGGAAAAAAATGAATATCCAGAATACATTTTTATTTTATATTTAGGTAGAGTGATTAATCGGCTACTTAACATAATAGGCAATCTTGTAATAATGTGCCATTTAAAATTCATTTTCTTTATGCTAATTAACTCAAGCTCAAAATCTATTTAGTACTGGTTATCTACAAAGAAGTACACAAAACGTCGTTATTATGTACATATATGTAATAAAAAATCCGAGCTTACTGAATTTTGAACACAAAGAAAGACACTTAACACAGACCTAATAACACTAAAACTGATATTTTACTAGTACTGATCACAATACCAGAATGTTCACTGAGAAATGAGCAAATACCAAGTGGACTAAATATCACTTCTAAGGGATGTAGACAGTGAGACGGTAAATAGACATCAACTTCATCTTGACGTCAAGAAAGAAGTTAATGAGTGATATAGTGATAGATTACGAACCACCAATACTATCATACACGGTGACTAACATACAGAAGATGAGCCGAGTTATCGCTACTTGAAGTTATGTACAATCAGCAGACATGAAAAATATGGATAGCCTGCACAGACCACAACCTGTTTCTAGCTAGCACTAACTTTCGGCACAGTCATCGCCGATGTGCCACCTGGCGTCCTCCCTCTGCATCTCAAGCCTGGACTCAGATTGATCACATCGCGATCAGCTACCGCTGGCGTGGTTGTGTACAAGACTGCCGCTCCTTTTGGAGTACCTATCTGGACTCTGACCATGCCTTGGTCTGCGCCAATCTTGCCTTACTTTTCAGTGGACAACGAAGTGAACGCCATCAACGGATTGATGTTAGCAAGCTGGTTGCAACTTCTGTTGCAAGTAAGTATCGAACCGAGCTAGCCTCTAGGCTAGCTACCACTCCACCGAAAAGTATAGATGAGCATTGGTTGCAATTGCATGACGCCATGAAAATGGCGGGAACAGTCAGTTGTGGGTTTGCGAAACGTCCCGCTTTTAAGCACTAGGTTTCTTCTGGTTCCTTACAACTCATTGAAGCCCGTCGGTCTACTCCGGGTAACCGTGAGTTTGACCATAAACGAAGGATTTTACGTAAGGAAATCGGGCAAAGCTTGCGTAAGGACCGAGAAGCCTGGTGGTCGATGCGTGCTAATGAGCTGGAAGCAGCAGCTGCATCTGGTAACTACCGGAAGCTCTTCCAGCTCATCCGAGCCACTGGCAGCAAGAAGTCTGGTGTGAGTGAAACAATCTGCGAGGATGATGGGATGCCAATCACTAACATCCATCGACGTCTTGGACGATGAGCAGAATTTTTCGAAGGGCAGTTCAACTGGCCTGCTGCTCCGGCAACATCGGTCAGACTGTCCTGCCCTCCATGGCCGGTGACGACTGATCCACCAAATGAGGAGGAAGTCCGCAAGGAACTCCAACTCTTGAAGCGTTACAAATCACCTGGCCCAGATGACTTACCTCCGGCTCTTTTTAAAGATGGTGGTAGCTTTTTGACTAAGGAATTGACGACGTTGTTTACAAAGGTTTGAGAACTAGAGAGTGTACCAACGTCATGGAATGAGTCGATAGTTGTCCCTATCTTTAAAAAGGGTTCACTTCGTTCTTGTAACAACTATCGGGGGATAAGTCTACTTGCAATTGCGTCCAAACTATTGGCTTCCGTCATACTTCGTAGGTTGTTCAAAACCCGAGAAAGATTGATTCACGAGGAGCAGGCTGGGTTTCGTTCTGGTCGAGGATGTATTGATCATATCTTCACCCTCCGCCAAATGTTAGAACACCGCCATACTTTGTAGTGTTAGTCATTCGTTTTAGCCCATAGTATATCTTATTCTAGTTTCCGGACATTCCATTCTACTCATTCTACTTGAGTCATGTTTTGACCTTGTTAATTATTCGCTTATTAGCCTTGACTGTTTTCACATGAGCGTACATGTGTGTACACTTCATGTCCGATGACTCATCACATGTCTGTAGTTCATTTTGTCTGCCTATAAATATTGAGTAATGTTCGGCTTGAATTGGAGTTGGCTTCCCAGCCATCTTCCCAGCGCGTCATTTCGTTTTGTTCTATCGCATTCACTTTACATACAAAATATATGTATTCAAATGCCATTCTCGTTAATTGACTTATTTAATTCCGTTATGGACTAACGTGATTTAAGTCGACGATGATATACGAGAATAGGTGATAACAATCATTCGTACAATCTAAATAGGAGTCAGATCAACGGGTCTCCTCAACTTATCAAAGGCCAACAATCGTAGTGTTTCTTGACATCAGGGCTGCCTTCGATTCGTTGGATAGGACTGTTCTCTGGGATTGTCTATTGAAGAAGGGTGTGCCTGAGACGTTTCTTAACATCCTAAAAGCCCTGTATAAAAACACCTCAGGCAGAGTGAGGGCATACAACCACCCTTCCCCATTGTTCCATTCGAGCAGTGGGGTTAGGCAGGGTTGCCCAATCTCACCATTCCTCTTCAACTTTGCCATCGATGACATTCTGGAAACAGCTCTGATGAATGTAAGTAATGGTGGTGTGGATCTGTTGCCTGGAGAAAGACTTCTCGACCTCGAGTATGCGGACGATATTGTCTTACTGTGCGATAATGCCCAAGGCATGCAATCCGCACTTAATCAGTTGGCAATCAGTGTCCGTAGGTATGGTATGTGCTTGCACCTTCGAAGTGCAAAGTACTTCTACAAGACTGGCAGGATTCTAATCCTGTACTCACCCTGGACGGTGAGCAGATAGACGTAGTTGAGAAGTTCGTGTATCTGGGTAGCTGCATAAGTGCTGGTGGGGGTGTGAGTGATGAGATTGGGATCAGTGACAGCTGTCACTAATGACTGACATTTCAAAAAATAAAATAGCGAGGAACACGTTAAAACAATTGTTCGAGATCGCGTACATTGTCAGGGTAGTCAAATGCCGTCTATGGAAAGAATCACATAACAGCGTGATATTTTACTCACTGATTTGAAAGTGTTAAACATGCAACATGTAATTTTGAGGTTAAGTTAAATGGATTAGTATTGAAGCTAATATTCGCTTCCTAATCCTTTCTAGCATAAAAGACAAGGTCTCTACAGTTCTGAAAATTACCAAGACCACCAGGATTTCCTGACCTTCAAAACACAATTAGCGCCAATGTAATTGAGTAGTCCAACCGATTAGTCAAACAGAATAATGCCACATGTGCCTGTTTCTATAACGCTTTGCTCCTAATTAAAGAACGAGATATTTTACTTCAAGAGGCTTCATCTGTCTATAACTGCTTGAAATATTTGCTACGAATATTTTAGGAGATTTCTATGCCACACCAGCCAACTTAGTCTGATCTAAAAAAAAACTTCATAAACTCAAAATCAAAATAAATCATCGTGTGAATCTTCGAAAATAATAAGAATCCAGCGAAGGAATTTTTTCTTTTCGACTAAATCATTCACTCAATCTGTCCATTCATATATATACCTGTGCGGTAAATTTTGCCATGGAAATATAGAAATGAAAACATAATTGTCGATACGAACACCTACTCCTGGACAACATCCGTAAAAAGTATGATTAGTTCACGAAAACCCTTCTTATGGATATCGAATTTAATATTGATGTTATTTAATTGCTTATTTACGACTGCCATCCCTCGTAGAGGAGCATAAGACACACATCAGCATTCTCCATACACCTCAGTCCTGGGCAGTCATTTCCAGTTCTTTCCTATGACATTCTGATACATTTTTTATACTCTCAGAGCAACATGTTCTTTGTTTTTCCTGTTTTCCGTTTCCTTTCAGAATTCTATGTGAGAGCTTGCCTCGAGAAAGAGTTTTCCGTAGTATGTGTCCAATCCACCCCTAAAGTCTTTTCCTAATTTCCTTCTCATCTGGACCCTGTTTTGATCTCAAATAGTAGGATGTTTCTTAAGGTAACCGGCCAATGGATGTTCAGTAGTTTGCGTAGATAACTATTTATAAATATTTGTAGTCTCATGATGATGGATGTGGTAGTTCTCCTTGTCCCATCTCCGTACGGTAGAACTTATTGGAGACTCTGACTTTGATATTGGCTTTCAGACAGTTATTTTGAGTACGAGATGCTCTTCAATCGTGGGAATGCTGTCCTGGTTTTGTCAATCCTTGACTTTACGTCTGCATCCGAACGTTCTTTTTCATCGATAATGCTTACCAGGTACGTCAATAATTCCGCCGTTGCCAGAGTTTCTCCATCAAGTGAGATCTGCCACTACACTAGTTGTCTTCATCTGCATTTGCTCGTGTGTATGAGATAAAAGGGCTAGGCTATCTGCATGGTCCAAATCGTGTAATTGGTTCCGAGCTGTGCATTGTATTATGTGTTTTACCCCAGATATTGATGTCGTCATTATCTAGTCAACCACTAGAAAAAAGACGGAGGAGAGTAAACAGACTTGTCTGACTCCGGCCCTTACTTGGGATGCATCAGTCAGCTGTCCGCCATGCACGACTTTTCACCGTAGTCCGTCATGCGATTTCCGGATAATGTTGACAATCTTCTCAGGAACTTCGTAGAGCCGAAAAAGTTTCTATATAACCCTCCTGACCTCTCTGTCAAATGCTTTATCAGTGTCCATGAAGTTGATGTAATGACCAATTGTATTCATTTGATTGTCGCGCGTTGTCGAGAGAGTTATATTGAATTGGTTGACTTTGATAGTATGTCGAAGAAGGGCGTATTGGGCATCTGTAATTCTGTTTATCAAGTTGTTCACTACCTTTTTAGCTTTAGTTTAATCTTGGCCATAACCAGATGGTGATTTGGAGACATATCAGCTCCTCTCCGAATTCTCAAGTCTTCCATGAATCTTATATCGGTCTGGTTCTCTGTAGCGTGGTCCGGTAAGGTCTATATAGCTATATGTGGGAATATTAAGCCGCCCATAAACAATTTGTCAAATGCCATGGACTTGCAAATCTCTCAACATTTTCATTTCTCTCTCCCGGTCCATATCGTTCAATCATATCTTCATACCTGGCGTCGTCCATTCCGACTTTGGTATTTGGGCCCCCTCAGGATAGCGAGGTTGTTTCCTGGGCACTTCGATTAGATTGATTGAAACCTCTCGTATAATTGATCTTTGTCATCGTCATTCGTATCATTAAGCAGCAGTGCATAATATTGGATAATAATCATAGTTATTCCCTTCTTTGTTTTGAAGGATGCTTTGAAGGTTCTGGATCCATGAGATTGTAGCGGTAAATAAATCCCCTAAATAAATAGATCTGCAAGTTTTCGACACTGGATGCTGACCGCATTAGTTTTAATTGACTCACCTAGCTGAAGGCGCTCGATCATGCATTCGCACTAGATCACGAGTGGGAACGCCGTGCTCAACATCCCCTGCAATCCCCAGCCAGATTAGATCAGACGATCCTCCATATACCGACAGCCTATCAAATATATCTTTGAACCCTCTGGCTTCTGTCTTTTGATTTCACTTGACGGGTACGATTCATATTAGGTGTTACTGGATGAAGCGTTGTCAACCTCCGAATACCTGTGGCATCTTCAAGATTCCTGCACAATAGATGCACTTAGTGCTTGTTTGGACAACATCAGAACAACTCCCTGAGTGTGCGAAGCATTTTATTGTTTGTGATGAGAGCGTAACAGCATCAGCTCCACATTTGGACTTTGCAGCTTAACTTGGTTCCAATGTGTCTCACTGACCATGAGAAATGCCGGGTTGTATCTCCGCGATTCTTTTGATAGTTTTCTGGTACTCCCGGTCTCCTACGTTGTCCGGACGTTCCATACCCTTATAAAAATTGTTGTCCTAGTTGTTAGAAGAGTCATCGGTCTCGTGACTGAAGATGAATTTCAGCTTTCATCATGAGGCGCCATTATTCAACTCCAAACACTGTTTTTAAATTGTTCAATTTTTTATTCCTTGTTAGCGTTTGTTTTAGGAAGGTTGTTTTCTACGAGATAAGGTTACCTGATGAGCGCTCAATCTCCCTCTTTCTTTTCAGTGCTTGGGACCGTTGGTAGCCCTAGTAGAGCTACAGGTGAAGTTTAAAGGAGATACTTACTTACACCTGTTACTCTTCGTGAAGGAGCATAGGTCGACTATACGGGTCTTGAAGTATTTAAATGGAAAGTTTTGTTCAGCATTATTTAATATTTTTATCTCACAATGACCTTCTATTCACGGATGTCTTAAGGGTAAGCTTCCTTTTTTGAGCTACATAAATATGCACCAAGAGACATACTGTCTATTATGTGGTAGTTTACATTGGCAGCAGGAAGCGATCAGTTTCTAAGCGCATCTGAGAACTCAACACGGTGGGGATTTTAGAAAGAGAGTGCATAACAGTTACCAGTTAAATATGGGAGCATCTAACCAACTCTGACCACGTCGCTTCGTAAGATTCTACTTCAAAGTAATCTACACAATCAAAGGATCGAGGAATGTCTAATCAAAGCCTATGCAGAGTTGAGACATTGGAGATGCACCCAAACTCCCATCCTTTTTGGCACTAATTCTTTTTTATAATAGTTCTTCCTATATTTTGCTTTTAAAATTAATGACTTGTAAATTCTAAACCGCAATAATTTATTATCATCCCTTAACAGTTTTCCATGAATATTATTGCGATCATTTTGACACTTAGGTTTTTCGTTTCTCTCCGTATCTGCGGAGCGGACAATTATCTGTCATAATTCTGACCCACAAATTATCTTCATCCACATATCCTTCTCAAATCCCTTGATTATTACTTAACCTAATTTAATTTTTAGTTTCGAATCGATTCATGATGTGACTACAAACGATACTACTCTAATTACGAATGTACAGCTCAAGCAAGTGATTGGGTGGAAAAGAAATTTTTCGTTGAATTCTTTTGATGTGATTTCGATATCTTATTTATTGTACACTGAAGGTTTCGTTTTTGGCGAAGAGCGTTTTAGAATTTAAGACTCAACGTTTCAAGGTGATACACTTGCAGATGCACTATGTTCTGCTAAACGCGCCGAAGGACGACAAGGTGTCTAGTGTAATTTATAAGTGATAAACTAGTGGAATACTATGCTTTTTTTAAAACAGTTTCACTTTCCTGGTTTCACTGTTATATGATTTGTGATCTGAATGTTGTATTTTAAACTGTGACTAAAATTTTACCAGAAGGTTAAAAATATCTGACTGAGTCAAGTTAAATTGGAATCCATGTTACTTAGACTTAGATGTACATGGCAATCTCCCGTTATAAAATCCCCAAAGCTACGTGATGAAATAAATACTGTTGTGTCTCACTTTAGTGTAAATTATATGGCTCCACTTGGTCCAAAGTAATAATGTTCAGCCTACGTATTACTGGCTGGTTGGGTCTTTGGTTTATTCGGAATTCGGTTTGCAAATTCAGTATTCAAGTTTGTAATACACATGCAATCTATTATTTTGGTAGAGAATTATGTATTACCACAGACAATCGAGCTATTGCTCCCGGAATAAAAAAAAGTAAATAGAAAGCGATTCTTCTTGGTTTTGGCAACGTTTCGCCTGCACCTACTGGACGTCTTCCTCCACCCTTTGTATGTTTGACACCATAAAATTGTTGGCTGGCTTTCCCATATGTTGCTATTAAAGGCCTCGTAGCGTAATGGAAAAACTGAGAGTGAGACCATAATTTATGGACAGCGTTTGAGTAACACCAAAGTGACCCTTAGAATGTCCACCTACTAACTAAGACTAAATAATGGTTTTAAATCGGTGTGAGGAATAAGAATTATGATTTTTGAAGTTGATGGTTAGAGTTAGGAATTGGACTTAGAATTTTCATCAATGATGACATCAGTTAATATTCAAGAAAATGCTCTTTAGCCAAATGGATGAATGGATTTCGCTCTAAAACCTTAGGCGTGTTATCGTAAATCTGATTGGTTCCTCCATAAATTATAGTCGCGCCCTCAATTTTTTTGTTAGAATGTTTCACTCGTAACACCGATGTATTTGTGATCCTCATATGCCTTACGTTAGTGTCAGGTAACGCTGAGGCAGAGTTACGGGTTGTTCGTCTAGATTTCGTTAACTTGCACCATCTTTAGTGTGGGTTAGCATCTGACTGCTCACTATAAATCCGAAAGATTACTCAAAATTTTACCACTTAACTGCTTTCATATTGCCTTATACTACAAGCTTCACGTGTAAAATACAAATATTCTTCCAGAGTTCTATTGTAAACCTAGTCAATTTGAAGCAATGTACACTAGAAAAAGGAAGTTTCCATAAACCATACTTAGTCAATACTACAGCTTCTACATTTTAAACCAACCTACCCTTCTCGACTTGTTCTTTAAGCAATTCAATTTTACTAATGCTCCTCTCTTCCTTTCTTGTGACACGACAGTCGGTAAATTTATGATTTAGTATTGACTGGTCTTTATTTAATTATGTTGATTTTCACTTTTAGGTAATCATATTGTTTGCCTTTACGTTTCATGATATTAAATGAATAAAACTCAAGAAAGGTATCAATCATTGTTGATAATAATTATCCTTTGGATTTTGTTTTCGTATAGTGTCATTTTTGGACTTCGCTTTTCTATCCAGTTTATCAAATATCTTGGTAGACAATTAGAAAGAGAATTTCTTACCCCACTAATTTTTTTGCACCTACTAATAATTGTTACTGGTTTTTGTAAGTGTAGAAAGACACAAAAGTAACAATAATCAACTTGTTTTCAACAGATGAATATTCTGCTTATCAAATCGGATTAATATCCTCCAACTTTTTTGATGCTTTGACTACTAAAAATCATGACAGATTTATATGGACTTTAAAATTATCAATAATGTATATATTTTGTGGCTCTTTGGTAAGTTATATTTAGCGCTGTCATACTGATTATTATGATTTTGTTTTACATGGCATTTACTATAGTAATTGAAACTTTACAGAATAAATCAACATAGTATCTGATGTAGTAGTGCTTCAAGTTTACTTGGCACAGAGTACAATATCGTGGTTTGAGAAATGGCCTAAAGAATAAAAATGACATGAAAAGGGACATACGTAACTTATTAATACTGTCTTTTGCAGTAAGGCTGGATAAAATTTAATTTACCTATTAAAACGGTTCATAAATTTTGATGACAATTTTGCTGTTGTGATAAATATTAATATAAGCACAAATGTCCATAACGACCTTTTTATTGATCGACACCCCAAATCGAAATCGAATACCACTCTAAATGTATAGGTTAGTACTCAGTAGATTGGAAATATGATTATCAGGATTTAGTAAATAACTACCTAGTAGAATTGTGAGACGGGTCAATTTTTAAACATTTTGCTTCTAAATATCAAACTATTAATTAACGAATGCATGATTTTCCACAGGGCATGAATTGTTGATATGAATAACATTGTCTTGTTACTTTAAAGTCTTATCTACGTTAACTCTTCCGTCAAAGCATGGTTGAGAGTGTGCAGGATTATGAACGTATTGACTTATTCTTAATTTGGAAGTTATTTCGTGCTTAATTGAAGTGTTGAAATTGTTAATTATCGAATACTCTCAGGTTTCTCACTTTTGCCTCCATATTTTATATCGTCCTAGAAACCTGGACATAGTTTGCTTGATATAAGATATTATGAAAACAGATGCCTGCTATTTCTCGGTCTGATATAGTAATTACTGAGTAATTCAACTTTTCTACTTTTCATGGTGATCATTGCTGACATTGAGTTAAAAGAATTTGCATTTTTGTTCTCCATTTAGGCTCTAGGTGTACAAAATATGGTCGTGGGACAATTATCACTAATATTACGTGAAATTTTAACCAAGAATTTACAAAGTCTATATTTTAAACGGAAAAATTACTATGTTGTAAATACTCTTACTGATTTAGACAACCCGTAAGTTTGTGTCTTACCCTCTCGTTGTTTTTAACTTGACTGATCAATAAAATATTTCCTTGTAGTGATCAACGTCTTACTCAAGATATCAATTTAGCTTGTGATCTGCTGACCAATATAATTGTATCAATTACTGTGAATCCAATATTAGTCGTATTCTATACATATTTATGTGTACAAAAGTAATGTATTTTGATTTCGCAGTTCATATGTTTTATTCCAGAGCTGGTTGGTTAGGTCCAGTCTCAGCTTATATCCTATTCATTATATTTGCAATAATTTCGCGATTCCTTGCCTCTTGGAGTTCGCGTGCTTCATTTGAACGTCAGAAACAAGAAGGCAATTTTAGGTAATTGTTAATTTTAAGTATCCTTTCATTTTTTGCATTTAGTATTTACAAGTTGTTTTCAAACTTTATCTAAAGTTTTCATTATAATTTAGCGGAAATAACGATGGATATATGACCTTCTTAATCAATAAATCTTATATTGACCAGATAAGCATAACAATTAACTTTCAATTTATTAAGAGAGTAATTTATTCGGAATGCATTTCAGCCCCTCTAAATGGAAATTGTTGCTTCACTACTGGTCTGTGTCAACACCTGAACTAAGGGTAGGGAGTGAAATAGTCAAATGCGTCGACGATTTCACTTACCTTAGTAGTCTCCTCAGCCCTAATCGGTTGTTGTATGACAAAATCTCTGCTCATTTGGCTTTTGTTAACTTACGTAACCTATGGCAAAGGCGAGATATCCGTCCATCAATTGATGAACGGATGTACTTCGCGGCAGTTCATTCTGTTCTAATTTACGGCTGTGAAACGTGGCCATTAAGAGCTGAAGATAATCGTAAGCTACTAGTATTTGACCACAGATACCTTATAAATGTTTCTTGCATCTTCCGGGATCACTAGGTAAGTAATAGTGAAGTTAGACACAGGGTTTAGGGAATAATGGTAAATCGACTGAGATGGTTGTACCACGTTTTACATATGCCTGAACACTGATTACCACGACATGCAATGCTGACTGTTGTTAGTGATGGTTGAAAGTTAGGGGCGGCCAAACCAAAACGTAGCACCAGTGCATGAAGTCACTAACCTCTAGTTTGAGCCATGTTGGAAGATGCAGACTAGTTAGTTGGGGTCTGCAGGGCTATCATAACCAGTGATTGAAGATTCTCGTTGACATGAATGAGAACCGATCACAATGGCGCACGTGTATGCACTATATGTCTTTCCTTTCATTGTGAGATTAAAGTTACTTTGTGTCTTTCCTTCTACGAATTAGTTCTTTCTCTCTGTATTATATCCCTATATGCACTCTTTTTTTACATATTACTACCATTGAGGTAACTACTCGTAAGAATTCGGTGTTCATCTTAATGCAGTAACAAGGTACAGCAACTTGGGTCAATGCATATATGTGCCTGGTCCTAAGTTGTAGCTGGCTGACTGAATTTGTTCCCTTAATTTTGTCGGGAATTTCCTGCTTTATTATATCAGTGTGTAGCGCGGATGCATTTCCTTTTTTGTTTTTCACCAAGTCTTGACCACATTTTCGTTTTCTATTAATTTGTTTCCTAGTTTTTGTTAATGTAATTTAAGTTCCTTTCAACATAATGATTTTTTCAGTTCCATATTATTATTTTCGCTTCATTATTCAAACTAAAATCAAGATAATATGGCACTAGGTTATAGATTTATGTAGTAAGTGAATGCTTACTGTAATCAATGCATCTCACAAGAACTCGCTATTTTTTAAAATTTGCATAGCAACAGTATGATATGAAATAATAATAACGATAATCTACCAAGTTGTATAGAACATTTGGACAATTTTTCTCACTCACTTGTAATGTACATAGTAGAATTACATATTATTGTAAATTTATATCTTATTGTACTGTTTGACGGTCCTAAATATAGACTTAGTGTAATACTTTATCAAACTTCTTGTTACTGATATGATAACTAAAGGGAAATCAGAAGTCATCACTTAATTGAGTAAAACTCGTAAGAAATGACATATTTACTAGTCAGAAGTAACTATTTGACGAGGGGACTTTAAAACGTATCTCTAAAACTACAGATGAGCTAAGGACATTGAACATAAGTGTGTAAGTTTGTACAGTGTAAGCATAAATTACATTAGAACTTCCTTGAACGTGAAATTCATAAAGCGTTTTTCCCTAAACTAGAAGCAATAGATAGTGATCTGGGCATTTACTATTCTTGATGTTGGATTTAAAAATAAGTTGTATACACAAGACTCAGGCACTCTGCAAGACTGTCTTAAATCTAACGCTCGATTTCAACAGTCATATTTTTCTCTGAATTTCTATGCAAAAGCTAATTCGGTCGATCATGTTTTTGCTCATTGGGATATAACAAAAAATATATTTATTATCAGTCTATTGTTTTTAAAAAAGGCAATAACTGGAGTGGATGAGTTATATGATGTGCATGTCAAGCTTCTACATCGAGGAACTATTCTGGCTTATACTGAATTGTTTTAAAAAATAAACTAACAGTGGCCATACGAGAACATGGTTCATGAAGTTATTTAATTATGTACGAAGGTCTACATGCAAACACTTATCAGTGTTATAAAAAGTAATTAACTCCAGAACCTGGATGATGTGTTTAAAAGTCATTCACAGTGGCATAAATTAAACCACTCTCTATCTAGTGGACTTGAAAATTTTTGTTATGTATCACTTATTTCCGTTTTTTATCATCTCTCTCTACCCCTATCTTTCATGTTTCGTTTTGTTATCTTTTCGATTTTGTTAAATCTCTATTCTTCTGCAGCAGTTATTAAATAGAAGCTCGTATAGACTTTTGTTTAATGCTTTACATTGACATACTCCAATGCAGTTATTTGTTGGTAGATTCCAGTTCTAGATGAAAGCTGTTGTCGCATTTACCGGTTTCTCAGATTATTGATTATGACCTGATTACTCGTTGTTTCATTTTTTGTTTGCTTAAAGCCGTTTTTGTAAATCGAAATGAAGCAAAATATATTATAAATTTATTTCGCCACGTTTTCTCTTGGGTTTTTCTCCTTTATCTTTTTGTAATTTACTGTCAGTTGTTTCTTCACTTTTTATTTTCAGGTTTGTTCATACAAAACTAAGATGCTCAGTCGAAAGTGCTGCATTTCTTGATTTGAGTGAATCATTAAATGCCATTTCAACGAATTTATTCAATCGGTTATTTCATGCTGTACGAGTTTTTATTAATCGTAATGCTGTAGTATTTTGTAAGTTATATATATGTATGCATTCACTTCTGTAAGCTAGGTAGTTTGATCTTGAAGTTTTTATTGTCTATCTAGGCAACAGTTTTTGATATAACCAACTGTTTAATTTATCGACCTTGACTTCGCTTGAATGTTGTTAATGCTTGTTTTTTCATTATATAGATATTTATTTTCATTTTTTTAATCTTTTGACCTGAATCTCGCTGATGTATCTGAGGATGAAATTATGAATGATTAAAAAACTGAACAGATTGCAATAAAAATTACATTGGACAAATTGGCATACCTTCCTTATTTCCATCTGAATGAACTCTGATTAGCTGTAAAACATCACAAAGTATCCTGAATCCTCCTCGTCTCTTTTTTTTTCTCTTTCCAAATTTATTTCACTGGATTATACTCTTTAAATAACATCTTCAACCCTAATCTTTCCGATTACTGCTTATACTCTTACCACCTCTATCACTACGGGATTTGAATCGACAACTGCTTCTCTGTGCTAATGTGGTGTGGCAACTCGAACTGATGTACGTACGTACGAAGTTCTACGTTGTTACTGACTGACTGACCACAAAGTATCCGCTTATATCAATACACAATCAGTTCTAGGCGCATGTTCGACTAAGAAGGTATTGAAATTTTGGATAGAGAGACCTGGGGATTTTAAGAGGTTTGGCACCGTGTATATCAGCAACCAGTAGACTTATCGAAATCGGTCCAGTTTATCAATTAATCCAAAAAACCCATAAATAATAAAATGGTTAAGAGTCAGGCAGTAAGGGTAAAGACAATGGAAATAAACATTCAAATAATAACTCGACAACTGTTAACAACAAACAATCGTCTTCAGGGTGGACAAATAAGCTGTTCGTTATATGTAGAAAATTTTGAATAGTGCACTTCTATCTGGAGTTTATGCTGGCGATGAATACTCGACGATTAAACTGTCCAGCTTTGAGAACCCAATTCTACCGAAAAGTGAGCGATATGCTCACCAAGCCGGTTGGCTGAACTTTATAAGCATAAGCATTGGTTTAATAAAATTTAGTTTAAAATGATAAACAGAAAGTATGTAACGTCTTGTTCCATTTGTGTAGCATCCCTGCAAATTCCTATAATATCTGTTTTGAACATAGAATTGTCTTCAACTATTGTTTTAGCCAGTAAACCAAACTAATAAATTAGAAAGACTGTAATTGGTGCTTTGTGTTTTGCTAAAATATAATAAATATACGAATCAGATACTATAAGCTAATTAATTTCCAGTCCTAGTTTTTCGTTGTTAATCTGAGATTATCAATTTAGTTCCGCAGTATTATATGATAATGAAGCTATGAAATTTCGAAGTTCTTAAAAACACTTCCTCTAGACTGAAGCGGAGTTTCTTGTTGAATTCTTCAAACATATTCACTAAAGAATATGTTGCGCATATTTGTTTTTCTATGCTATCTGTTGTTGTTTATATTCATATTTCTGACCAGATGTAACACAACTTAATGCATATTGTGGTGGTGTAGTAAATTATGTCGCTCTTGGAATCATTCTGTTCAATGGTCCAATTCGAACAATGTCAGCATCTGAAATCACTGTTCTTATTAGTCAGGTAAATAGGCATCAAATAATTCGTTATGTGTATACAAATTTTAGTTTTCGTTGTTGCTGATGTTGCTACTTGAACTTTTTTCTTGACAATCCACATCTTGTAAATTCTAACAGTTAATCCCCTGTTCATTTTACTGTGTGGTATCATTGAATTTGTCTGGTATGTGGTTTATGGCTATGGTTAGTTGAGTATGATATCTATATATGTATGTATAGACAAGGTAGATAAATGTTCTTACCTTACTATCACGCCTCTATATTATCGAATGATAAGTTTTGTTGAATTCAGTTCGTTCGAAAGTGGGAAACGTAAACAGGTAATAGTATCACGGGTTCGCAAAATCCAGTAAATAAAAATAACATTGACGATTGTCTTATTATCTAGTTCTTAATGCTAATGGAACTCTATTTGATCACCTTTGCAATGTGGCTTTTAAGCTAAATGAATCGGCATTTCTGTGTCCTTTGTCTGATATTCGATATTTGGAGGCAATCGGTAAAATAATCCGGAATGTTGGTTTCTTACTAGTTGGGGACCACAATATTTAGGTGGTAAAGTTGTCTTTGACCGCCACACTAGACGACTCAAATTCGAATCTCCAGAAAGATATAATCAATTCTTGCTAATGAGTGCCAACCACTACGAAACGGACCTAGTAGTCCATTTCCTCAGCAACCATCTGACAGAAAAGGAAATAAACTAGAGCAGTAATTTTGCGCTACACAATTCAAGCACTTCAATTTTTTAGTATGTTCTTGGGGAAGAAAGTTTAATATCTAAATTAATGATCTATTTCTGTGGAGTTCCGAAGTCTTCCTTAATCATGAAGCCAAGTAACTGAAAGGTCCATATGATACTTCTTTCACATTTCTTTCTGACGAGAAACACTTCAAATGATATATTGATTATTGTTGATTGATTGGTAGATTAAAAAACCTTTGTTCCCGATTTCTCAGTCTAGTTGGTATGTCATCAATTTCGTAGTCTATATGTGGTGAATAAATTCCATAGACAGATCAACGAGAAACGCAAAAAATCAATCTAATATTGTTAAGTATTTCTAAAGATTAAGTATTTAGATTGAAATCCAACAAATATTTAGTTATTTATCTAGATCTCGAGTTCGGGAACAAAAAGCTAATCTATGGACTCAATCACGTAATTATTGAGGCGGTAACTCAAAAATGTCATTACTGTATAAAAAGTCAATTGAAGTTGGAATTTTGCACCATTAAGTTTCAGTTCAGTTATGCCGTGTTTACCTGGACATATGTCCTGAATTTAACCCTGTTTACTGGGTGCACATTGTTTATGAGTTTTAAATTTAAATAAGATTGCAACTTAGTGACTTTTCCTTCATTTTAAAATTATTTCTCAACGAATATTACTTCGATTTTTGGTGGCTCAGTTGTTACGATACTCAAATTACAACCACTAAGCCACAGTTTAAAATCCACCTCTACCTATTTCAGTTTAGACAGTCGAGTATTAACGAGTCGAGTATTATAATTGAAAAATGGCTCAAAGTTAAAGATGCAAAGATGTGTACCTATCAATTGAGTATTGAAAATGTTTGCTGAAAAACTATGAATGCAGTTCACAAACAAATCTATTCTATTATGTGGTTTGATGTAGTTGGGAGAAGAACCTAAACTTATATTTTGTCCATATCTGCACTAGTCATGCTACTTATTGTCTAAAAATAATGATTATTTTTGTGTTATAATTTTTTTCCTATGAAAATAAATATTAAAGTTGTATCTTTTTGTTCTTTTCCTTATCTCCTCAAATACACACAAATAATTCTAGACTAGTTTCTTTCTTCTGTATTTAATTAATAAATTAACAAATTTAATTAATTTATCTACTGATATTGCTCAATTAGTTGGTGTTGGACATCGGTATGTAAAATAAATATTTATGATTTTGATCAATTTCAGTGTAATGTTGAAATTAACACTCAGTTTTTACAAATGTTTATATGTTATACAAGAATTAGGTCTGATAGTCGGGTCTTAATTACTTTGACATTTAAGTGCTGTAGAAAATTTAAATCATCTTTCAGAAGTTTTTGCTCCAGTTAACTTCTCAGTCTGTCATACACAACGTAAAACCTTTAACATATTTACATCGGTTCAAATTACTATACCCTACTAACTTAGCTCCCGACCGTTGCTGCTACCTTCACGTGGTGGTCGGGCCTGCCTATCGTGATGAACCAAACGAGCTATACTGGCTGGAACAATCGTTCCTCAAGGTCCTACCATACCAGACAGGTCGGTTAAAGAGCGGTAAGACTAAAAGCAACAAACTCAAGGTCCGAAGGCAAAATCGTACTGCTGACTGTACAGAGGTGTGACAGCAGTAAGGTGTTTCCTTCAGACAACCAGCATGACAGCGATGCTGCCTTCCCACAAGGAGGGGTGGGGTTAGAAAAGGTCGACCCTAAAACTGCACACCCCACCTTATCTCACGGATATCCGTCTCCGGCGGTAAGGTTCCAATATTTACGGAGCTAACACGAAAATTACCCACAAAAAGTCGTGTGTGACTGACCTCAATCAGATGCCCCTTGGGCACTGCGGTCGTGCTCTCAGGTCACTAAGACCACCTCTAATCCGATTTCCTTTTCAGGCACCTCAAGAAAAACCCTTCCACGGTGTGGGCGACCAGGAAGTGATAACCGCCCTCATACCTCTAACAGCACATCTGACTGACTGACTAGATTAACGAAATGAAATTTCCAGGGGAGATCCCATAGTAGTTGAATTAGTAAAAGTATTAGTGACAATACATGTCTTAATCGTTTCAGTCGATAAAGATTAAATACCTCGTCAATAAATTTGCCATCCTTACCTAATACCCTGTGTCTAATCTCAGAATTAGTAACTCGATGGTCCTAAAATGTCCAAACAATCCCTCGAAGATACCTACAACCGAATACTAGCTGTCTACGTATATTCGCTTTCATTACGGACTATGTTCCACAGCCATAAAATATAATGAAGCGAACTGCTGCATTGTAAACTCATCCTTTCGTTAGTAAACGTATATCTCGCCTATCCCATAAGTGATCCCAGTTAGTCAAGACCAACCGAGCTTTGTGAATCCATGCTGAGATTTTGTCAGACACTAACCCACAAAGGCTGATGAGACTTCTAAGATAAGTAGTTGACACGCCCAACTATACTCCCTATCATTAGTTCAGTCGTTGATGTAAACCAGTTCTGAAGCAACAGTTTTGGACCTGGATGGATATAAACACGTCACAAAAGCTCTAGCATTTTTTCTTGAGGCATTTGAAAGCCTACTTTTTTCAGTGTCTTCATGAAACAGGACTATGTCATTTGTGTATTCTATGTCAATATGAGAATCTCGTGATTGAAGATCGATTCCTGAAAATTCAGACGTTGTGAGGTATCTCTGCAAGCATGTCGTTGAAAAAGTTAACTAAAAATGAGGAAAGTGGACAACCCTGACTAGCACTGTTTGAAGTTATCGATCCCGAAGGCAGTTCACCACAAGCTCTGACTTGAAATTATGTGTATGCACTCTTTATTGGATTCATAGTCTCTATTTAGGTTGTAAAATAAAATCTCCAATACTCTTTACCCTCTAATCAGAACTCTTTAATCAACAACAATTTGTGATGGTGACCATTTTTAAACTTTGGAAATATCTACGGTTTAAAACACTTTAATAAATGAAATGAAAATTTTATTGTTTATTTCATGTTCAGTTGTATCTTACCTCTATTTTTTAAACAAACAATTTCTAATAATTTTATGATTATTCATTTTCTCTTTCTTTTTACTCTTGTAAAATTAGCATTTTAAACTTGGACAAATATTTAAGAGAAATTAATTTATATGATACTCCAGCTGCTTATATCACATCTTATCAAACTCAATGGTTATTTATTAGATCAAAAATATTCAGGTATGATTCAAAGGGTGATAATTTCCTGTTCTCTTCTCTTTTTTTCGTTGATCAGTTTTATTAACAAGTTTTGTTTAATAAAAAGTATTCGTTGGTATATATTACCTTGTCTAATTACCAAGCATTTAGTTTCGTTGTCGCTAAACTCATCACCGCCTACTTTATGTAGAGATGTGTGAGCTGTTCAATTATTCCACAATCTTTTTGATTGAGAACATGAACCGATTGATGTTAGACCACCATTGAAAACCTGGGAGCACTGGACGGCTGTTTCGTCCTATTGTGGGACTCCTCGGCAGCGCGCATCCATGATCCCGCTCGCGGGATTCGAACCCGAGGTCTTCAGCCTCGCACGCGAACGCTTGACTTACTGGACCACTGAGCCGGTATCCAATGGTGTTGATGTCTAACCTCAACCAATCCACGGAATTGCGCGACCTTCTTCCATTGTACTGAGGTAGACACCTGTCTCTACCTGACACGGATTAGCTCCACTGGTCATGGATTCTGACTAGAACTCCGAGAATTTCCTCACAAAGCTAGTCATTAGTGAGCACATGATACTTATCAGCACAAGGGTTGTGGAGATCTCCATCAACCCGATTAAAGCTACAGACATTCGCTTTTCGCCCTTCCATTTTCGTAAACAACATCCTCTCCGCGAGAAGGCAGTGGGTAGGACTTCCCTTGCGGTGACTGTATGCGCGTGACCATGCGAAAGGATTTCAAACGGGAGAGCGGACTCCCCTCATCCTCGGCCATACCAGCTAGGGGGGCAAATAGGAATAATAACGAGGCGGATTGCATGCATATAGCATTCAAACCTCTTTAAACCCAGGACATAGTATTAACGTCATTCACTATCCCATCGCCCCTGACAAGTCAGGCAACCCGAAAGTCAAGAGAATACTATCAGGGCATACGAAAGGCTCGGTACCCTCTAGATGAAATACTATGTATGCCCAGTGTCCAATTGAGTAATAAATATAACTAGTATTTATTTTAATATCTTAAATCATTAGTTGATCAATAATTAGTTTATGCAACAAATGTATATGTATATAACTGAGCTACCCTATCCACAACCAACACAATGTATGACCGATATATCTACTTACACTAACTGATCAATCACTAATGTATGCTTACTGTAATGAAATTTAGATTCAGTGCATCCTAGCTTTTGCTTCAACACAACCCAACATCAAAACAGTGCATAAAATAACATCGAATCACTTAGAATAGTGCCCTTCACTTTAGAATTCTTTCAATACTGAGGGTTATATCGATTACTTCTCATTGGTTAATCAATAATGTAAACTGACATAATCTGCGTATACAAAGTATCTCACTATTTTTTGGTTCATACATTTGACTTCCGTTTATGTTGCATTGCGCTTAACTTTGGGATAATTAATATTGTATTGGTTGATAGTTAGTTCGACCATCTTACAAAAGTATGGTCGAAGTTATGGGCAGTTTCTACGTAAGGTACTTCTTCAGTTTTTATACGGAACATGATATTCTTGATGGAAAGCATAATCTATCCGTACCGTAAAATTCTGTATAAGGTAATTAATCATGTTGAGTAGTTTCCCATTAATTTACGCTGGTATTTGAACCATTTTTGTTGTGTTCATTAGGGTATTTAATGCATTGTAAATACAACTTACACGATACAGTATATCATATTTTTTGCATCGTTTTATATGTAATCTAATTTAACACCATATCAATGGAGTAACTAAACACACCATCGTAATATTCAACGACGAATTTCACATCTTGTGCAATTGTTTGTTATACAACCTGAATTCCTGATTTGAATTAGATGTACTTGGGTGGTGTTTGGAAATCAAATGCTTAGACCATCACAGTTAAATCTAAGATTATGTAATTTATTTTGAGGATATTTCTTTTTCACAAAACAATAAATTTGTTTTTAAAATTTCTATTTTCTTTTTCTCATCCTAGCCCTATACACGATATCATTGACAGGGACAATAATTGTTTACTGGATGATATTGTTTTTCAAATCAATCATGTATCAATATGTATTCCATTGAATCCTAATAATGTTTTAATTCATGGTATGTTAATAATTTTGCTTCTCTATTTTAATGTACTGGCACTCACGGTAGAATTTGATCAACACTAAGCAAGAATTGATATACATGGCATTGGCCATTATTCAGTGATCAGTCAATTAACAATAAACCTCAGTCCTATATGAAATCAAAAGCGGTTTAGATAGCTCAGTGGTAGCGTTTCTGACCGTCAAGCTAGGCGATATAGGATTGAACCTTTCAGAGGGCATCAGTCCTCTCAAGATTACAGGTACACCTTGTTGACAAGTGCCAAATAGCACGAAACCTAGGTTGACGATTTCCTGTCGACTACCGCTAACCACTGTTTTACTCATGGCAAATTCTCTTCACCTTAGCAAGAATGTTGATTAACGCCTGTAAATACTCGCGATAAAAGTATGGAAAACACATACACTATATGCAATGGATTGAAAACAACACCTAACATTTGATAGTTATTATTTTCGAGTTCAACGTGTGAATATATTTTGATGCAATCGATATTGTGAAAAAAAGATCTCTGTCTGAGTTTAGAAAAGAAAAGAGTAAATAAAAAAATTCGAACAGATTACTAAGTAAACGCAAATAACACACTTTTATCTCAGTTTCAGTTTGGAAAGGACATTAGGCTTGATGGCCTGTGTTAGTCCTGGCAATGGTGGTCTCTCAGTTGATCCAACTTCCTTTTGAAAGAGTCGATGGATGGAGCCCCAACCACGTGCTGAGGTAATGAATTCCACTCGTTGATGATTCGATGGAAAGTCGATAGTCAACTGACAAGTAATTTGTTCTGGGCTTATGAAAATTTTTGGACTGTCCTCGTAAATCCTCTGTTTTGGAAGACAAGAAAAATGAGGGCATATCTGGTGCGAATTCATCATCAAGTAATTTGATAGCTGTAATCAAGTCCCCTCTAGTTCTTCGATAAGACACCGGGAATAGGCTTAGCTTAGACAGTGGAGCGTCATACAGCGGCCTCGCTATTCCGGAAATCAGCTGAGTTGCACTTCATTGAACCTTTTCCAGAAGCTCACTATCTATTTTTAAGCAGGTGCTAGCCGCTTATATGTAGTACTCAAGTTCAGGACCCATTAATGCTGTATACAAAGTCAAAAAACGTTTTAGCATCGACATGACTGAAGGCCCTACGTATTGACCATGGGGTTCTAAAGCCTTTGACGGCTATTGCACGGCAGTGTGCAGTGGTCTTTAAGTCTTGGCTAACAATTACTTTTAAGTCATTGTGTGTCTGGACAACAGGTAGCTGAGTGTCATTCATCGTGTATGTATCTATACCTTCATGGCCGATATGCATCACAACACACTTGGAAGTATTTATCGGCAACTGCCAGGTTTGAGACCATTCAGATAATTTCTTCAGGTCATTTTGGAGTTCTAAGCTACCACCCTTACTTTGTATCGCTTTCCACATCGTGACATAGTCAGTATATAGCAAGACCGATGATGATAGTAGACGAGGAAGGTTATTTACTTACAACAGGAATAACACTAGCCCCAAAACTGTACCATGGGGCACTCCACTGGGCACAGTTTCCCAGCTAGATAACTTCGAGTTCACCCATACTCTTTGTTGGCGCCCAACTAGGAAGTTATTTATCCACATCAATAGACTGCCTCCAATTCCGACATTTCTCAGCTTATATAACAGCCGGTTGTGCGGAACTTTGTCAAAAGCTTTGCTGAAATCAATGTAGGCTATGTCTACAGGTAACTTTTGGTCCTTAATAGCGCACCAGCTTTCACGAGCGACTGAGTTATTGAGACAAGAATAACCTATTCTGAAACCATGCTGTTTCTCCGAAAGGATCCGGTTTTCATCGAGATACTTAAACAGCTCCTTCCGAATAATCTTTTCTAAGATTTTAACAACCACACTAGTTAGGCTAATGGGTCGGTAATTCTCAGGTTTATGCTTCGTAACTGTTTTGAAAACAAGACTTACTATGGCGTTCTTCCAGTCTTTTAGTAAACGACCCTGCGTTACGGATAGATTAAAGCGTATACTTAAAGGTTTCGCAACAAAGTTAGATAATTCCTTTAGTAGCCTAGGATGCAATTCATCGGGCCCCGTGAATTTATCTATGTCAAGCTTATTTAGCAGACCAAAGACATTGAGTTGTTTAATGGTCACGCTACCCAGTGTATGTGTGGGGGGATTTGTATGCGCTGACGGGAAGGGTGGTTCTATGGTATATAAATTGCTAAAGTAGTTTGAGAACACTTGAGCCTTACCAAAGTCGTCCTCCACTAATGATGCGGAAGTATTTTTGTTATATTCCAATGAGTAGAAATGTGTATTTTCAACGTTTCATGACTTAATGTAGGTCTACTCATTGGGATATAGCAAAAGTATATTTATTATTAACTTTCTACCCAATACTCAATTTATTTGAAACTGTCAAATTCAACCTTGGTATAATTACTTATAGTAATCTTAAGTAGTCGAAAACAATTAGTGATATATTAACGGGAATTCGAAAAAATAGGATAATCTGAAGTATACATGTCTAACAATTAGGTTTAAAGTCGGCTACATATTATTCAGTATGATATCTCTTGAAAATGAATTGATTAATTTCCAATTATGGTAATCGGCAGTTATCAAAACTGTTGAGAAAAGGGAAGAGTTAATGTTACATAAAATTGCTTTTCATTCTGAACTGAATGATTTTACGTGAAAACTTATCCTTATTACAAAAAGATAACCAATATCGTCAAGATTATTGCTTTCTCACTCGTTAAGCGTACTATAAAGAAAATTACTTTTTACAACAGAACCTGTTGACGACAATACTAGACTAGAATAATAGTAAAGAGGGAAGCTTCGATAGTTGGTAAAAATAATGTACCTGATTAAGAACACAGGTAAATGAATGTGAGACTGTTAAAATTGTCTATGAAATGAGTGAAAAGAGAGTCTCCAGTTAGCGCCTAACATTTGTACAAGATTTAGCCAAAAGTGACTGTGAATGTGGGAAATAGTAATTGATTGATTGGGCATAACTCAAGAATGGTAAATCGTATAATAATAGTTCATAGGTCAAAATAAAGCTCATAATAGGAGGGAAACGAATATGAATAGTCTAGTTATTTAACAATTATACGATAAATATATACGTATAGTTTTAGTCTAGAAATAGATTCCAACAGTTACCATGCATTATTCTCATCAGGATATAACAACCACTAGTACACCATACTTATTAACTTTTTTTTCTTCTATTTCACTGTAGATGAACTTTTTTTTAATTTGTCTAAATTTTTTCTCTTTATAGACTTATGTTTAACTATTAAAAAGCATGAAGCCCTACTTATCACTGGTCCAAGCGGTGTTGGTAAAACTGCTTTATTTCGTGTTTTAGCTGGTCTATGGCCAGGTCTCATCTTAATGAATAATAATTCAGGGAATAATAATGCAATCAATTCATTATATCATTTCTATCAGTCGGATAATTTCCGAGTTGTTTTTATTCCACAAGTATTATACATACCATGGATGACAATTCAATTAAATAATGAATTTTACAAGTTATTAACAAGTTTACATTGTTTCATGATGGCATCAAATTCATTAATATTATCGAATATCCGTAGAGAACTACATTTATGTTATTTATTATTGAATATAGCATATTCTTTCGATAGTCAATCTACTGGTGGGCTTGATGCTAGAGCTACAACATTTGATATTGACAATCCTGAAGCAAGTAAGTAATTGCTTTTAATAGATTCTTGTTTTCTATTCATCCAAGATAGTTCTCATATCAGTGTGATAATTGCTTAAAACTCATTAAAAATTGAGGACATTAGACAGTTGATTTTCCCTATTCAGAATTTCTCCACTGGATGGATAGCCGTAATCCCCCACCCACCCTTTATACAGGATTTATTCTAAGACTCTTTAGTTATAGACTTTCGAATCGAGATCTAGTGAATTGGATTTCTAACTTTAATTAACTCGAAATACAACTCAATAATCTCCCAATATCACTTATTGACAGCTGACTCAGTCGAGATATGGCTGGCTACACAGGCTAAGATTTCCCAGAATAACTTCTGAATATTCAGTTCGTAATTGTTAACGTAGAATCTGTGTTCATTAGTGATTCTGAAGTTAGCTTGTAATGAACCCATAATGTTTATTGTTTATTAGTTGGATTATGGAGATTAGTTCAATGTCGATGATCAATCTTATCCTAGGTTGTTTAGAGATATTTTAAAAAGCGAGGACCAAACACATGTCCAGTACATTCTGTCAGAGTCTCGTAAACAATGTTTGAATTTTGTTAAACTTCCAATCTTCGAATAAGAAAAGATCGTATCAAGACTCACTTGGGAATATGCCTTAGTTTGGGCATAACGAGCAAAGTAGCTGAGTATGATGATCAGTTTATTTATATAATAAATCTCATCATCTGACAAATACAAATACAGAAGATATCCAATTTTGTCGGCTTATCCTTCGTTTTATATACAAGATGTTCACTTACATATCTATCAAAAAGCGAGTATACTGTCCAGAAATTTCTGTGCCACTGGGTGACTATAAAATTAATTTTCAGCTGTAGACTTCTTTTAACCGTAATTATTTTATAGTATTTCTAGCATCTGATCCCTTTTACTAATTTGAATAAAACCAGAATAATATGAATGCCTTATATTTTGTGGTTTCGCATCAGTTACTTAATGTTTATTTTGTTATTCTAACTAAATTCATTATTATTTCATGTATGCCAGAACCATTCTTTCATTCATCGGCTTTTTCACTCAATTCTCTAAACTTACTCCCTTATCCCTTCCTTAGTTTGTGATTTCTATCTTCATATGACCTCATATATTTTCATATATATATATATATATATATATATATATATATATATATATATATATATATGTCATACATTAACGCCGTGGGATATCGAATTAGTGGTCAAGAGGTTAAGTGTTCGCGCGAAATCGAAAGTTCTGGGTTCGAGCGCACTTGTGAGATGGTGGGTGCGCACTGCTGAGTAGTTGCATACAGGGATGGAATAGTCGTCCAGTGCTTTTAGGTTCTCAATGGCTGCCTAGCTTAGATTGACCAGTGATCTTAACTGTGGAAATACTACAATCTCCACAAATCCCCGAACAGCTATATACATACCTCAAAGTTACACTACAATACACCATTTATTTGTAAGCAGCTGATGAGAAATCAAGGAAAATATTAACTTCCTATTATCGTCCCCCAATATAATACTTTTCTTCAAATTGCCACTTGGTCAACCACGAAGTGATTAATGCTGAGATCTGAAGTATAGTTCTATGTGAAATGATCGATCAGTCAATGAAGTGCAGTATTGATTAAATCTTTCCCACAATAATTCGGAAGATAACGAAAGGGTGAGTAGATTCGAAAACAATAACTGGTTCAGTAAATTGACTATAGGTATCCATCAAATCTATGTAGCGTCGCAAAATCACCCCTATGTACCAAAATCAGACAGATCGTATTTGTGTATTTCAGAAATCAACATTAGAAATCTGAACCCCTTCAAAATCATTGTCACTCACAAACCAACACATTCACTTCAACTGAATGATAGATACAACAGTGCAAAAAGATAAATCCAACACCACGTATAAAATAAATTTTACCAAGTGAGAGTGACAGAATATTGGATAAATTGGACATCAAACTCACTTGATCGTACACACATTTCGACTTGTGATCAAACAATACGGTGATAAAAATAGTCGTATTAATGCATTTAGACAACCACAGGTGCGAATTCAATTGAGAAAATGTCGAACCTGTGGAGTGAAGCGATTCTGTGTATATCGTGTAATTTTGAGGGTTGTGTAATTGAGATAAATATTTATAACCACTAGACATCGACCTAATTAATCATTTCATGAATAAATGGTGTGAAGTGAATCGGACAAGTTAGTGATGAATATGAATGTTAAGACAAACATATTGATAAATATAGATAAACAAAGTGTCATTGAATTTAAGTAGTCACAAACATTATTATCAAATTTGGATTGATATAGTGCCATTAAATCTTCGTTTTTTATCCGATCAATATATATTTGTTATGTCTTCGGGATGAACGCCACTTGTTATATCTGGTCGCTGCTGTTTATTTTGTCGGAATCGTTTATTACTTACATTTGTAAAAACGAAGAACCACTGCAATTCTCACGATGCAAAATTAAGGACGCACACACGACTATGACGGCGACGACGACTAGTCGAAAATACGCTGACTTATATATTGATTGTAAATCCATTTTGATTAATAATTAGGATGAAATCACATATATGAAAAATACTTAGAGTCATAACAAATCACAGACTGAGCATAGTTCATGTCAATGGAATACAAGAATATCGTATGTTATGCAGAATAAAATATCATACGAGAAAACAAAAATACTACACACAGTAATTATCACATTAAATCAAGACGGAATTAATGTTGAACCAAAAATATTAGGAATTCAAATTTAAAATTGTCAAAGAAATACATTCTCTTATTGTATATCTGTATTTTCATTATATACTGGTTTATGTATAACTTTGTTATTCAGTTTGAAAACATCTTGTTTCATGATTAAATAGATGTACTTGTTGTTCGCCATGATAACTAAATGCCACATTTTCAGTTACTGATCGTATTAAAAGTTAATCGATTCACTAAGAATAATCTATTGACATAGAAGTTTATTATGCTTGTTTTCTACATTAGATTCAGTAGTCCATTGAATAACTCGTTGACATTTGAAACAGAAAATGTAAACAGCAATACAAGAATTCACGTATATCTGGCTAATTGCTCCTAAATAAAATGAAATCCGGGTTTCGAATTCAACTGTTAGACATTGTTTATCCAGTCCCATTCAAGATAAATTATTAGGGAGAGTTTATAGACTTATAGTCAATCAGTCAGTCAGCTACAACGTAGGACCAGGCGTATATATACATCGGTCCAAGTTGCCTTACCGCATTAGCACAGCAAGATGAACACCGGATTCATAGAAGTAATTAATTCAATGGCGGTAATATAGAAAAGAAAGATTGCTTATAAGGATATAGTATAAGAAGAAAGAATTAGTACGTAGAAGAATATGAAGTGATTTTAATCTCATAGTTTAAGGGAAGATAGAGAGTGTATACACCTACGCCATTGTGATCGATTCTGAGCCATGTCACCAAGAGTCTCCAACCATTGGTTACGATAGTCAGGCGGACCCCAACCAGGTAGTCTGTATCTACCAACACAACTCAGACCGGAAGTTAATGTCTTCAAGCACTGATGCCACGTTTTGGTTTGGTCGCCCCTAACTTTCTTCCAACCATCCTGAACACCGGTTAGCATTGCATTCCGTGGTAAACAATGTTCAGGTATACGTAACACGTGGCCCAACCATCTCAATCGATGAAGATTAACAACCTCATCGACTGATTTACCATCATTCCTCAATACCCTGCGTCTAACCTCACTGTTACTTACCCGGTGATCCCAGCAGATGCGAGCAATATTTCGAAGGCATCTGTGGTCAAATACCAGTGGCTTACGAGTATCTTCAACTCTTCTTAACGACCATGTTTTGCAGCCGTATAGTAAAACAGAACAAACTGCCAAACAGTATACTCGTTGCTGAATATGTTCAACTAGAGAACAATATTGATCAAATTATTTTTCGATTAATTTCTTTACAAAATGATTCACTCAAATTATAACATTGACTTACCTCTTGATGTATATAAATAAAGGTTTAACTTCTAGTCTATCATTCTTTTTATTGTCTTCTATTTTATTTCATTTTAAAACATAGACTTAACTAGTCATAATTCTACAAGAAAACAAAATTCCAAATGTTCAATTTGTGATTATAATCTGGATTCTTTCGAAAAAGCCTTAAGTTTACTCGTTGAATTTCGTCTTATCAAATTAGAACAATGTAATGCATTAAAACAAATTCTTAAATTATATTATAACAATGGAAATAATAATGGTAATCATACTATTATTGATGATGGTATTTATTCTAAAAATCAATATCGAATTCCATTATTAACTGATATTTGTTATAATGGTTGTTCTGTTAGATCAGAGAAATCCGAGTATGAATTTGATTCGTAAGTTGATCGAGATGAATGATCTGTTTGGGCATTTTTTTTGTTCTGTGTAGGAAAAAAATTATAAAATGTAGATTTTATTTGCTTATATTGATAAAACATAGTAATTGATGATATGTGAATTATGATTAATAGCTATACAAGTTGTTTCATTTATGATGAAACATAAATTTTAATGCATTAGTTTAACGTTATGTTATACGGTCGTACGAGTTTGATACTGATGTATACGCTTAAAAATTTAAGCTCCTAATAGGTCTATTCTAGTGTAGAAAATAAAAGTGAATAGGAAGCTTTTTTATTGGCTAGTGAAATCATGAATATAAATACAACTCATCCATAAATCTATATCTTTCTCCTTTAAAAAATATATATAAAAATTTCAAACAATTGCATTGCTCTCCCTCGTTCCTAAGTAAATGTAAAGCCAAATCTTGGCCAGTAAGTGTCTCCATAAGCATCTTCCACTTAACATTTGACTTGTCTGATAGGTAAAGCGTATCTTCATCAAGAACTCCACAGTGGCCTACTATAGTAAGACAGGGATAGATTTTAGACTAAAAGTTATTTAGTAGCCACAGTTGCTAATTATGAATAACTAGTACTCAAAGTTCAGAAAAATACATATGTGCCTATATTCGTCAAACAATTAATACTGCTTATTGCATGTAACTACATAAACCTTCACAAAACGATTGCGAACTTATTCGTTCTTGAACCTAGGCAAGAGATTATATCAACCTGGAACTTATTACTTGAGGTTAATTGTCATAGCAAACTGAGGGTAAATAGCGAATTCTACTTTAAGTATGCTTCTGCTTATGATACTATAAACCTTTATCAATTTTAATTGTTTGAGTATTTATTACACATGCCTATTCACTGGGTGCTCTGATATTTTAGCCTAGCTAATGTAGAAGCAGATTAGGAAAACTACCAAACTAAAACGTGAAATCGCCTAATTAAGTCATTGACTGTTGAAGTGAACCTTGTCTCAGGATGTAGACTGTTTCTACAATTCAGGCTGAACATGATCTATTGTTAAATATTATATTTGTCATAGTTTATAATCAGTCGAGTTAGCGAAGATTTATTCATTTTTAATCATATCTTTAGGATTTAATGTATTATTTAATCCCTTCTTTTTTATTCTATTGACTTTATTCTTTTTCGAACCATATTCTGGATCTTCAGTCTTCGTACTGTCATTATTACTATTATTGTATTCATTCCCTTGCTGTTCATTTTGTTCTTCTCGTTTTGAAGCTTACTTATTCGATACTCAGTTGCGCGCAATTGTTGTAACCAAACAGTTAAAGATGTTGAATGATCTACTGATTTAAAATCATTTGTAATGATGCAGATCCACTTATTGTTTGTCTTGGATCTTAAGTTTTAAATTATCCTGTATTTATTATTTAGTACATTCTTTATTTCTTTTCGATTATTATTGTCTTTTTTCGTCTTTTTACTTCACTAATTTATATTTTGTTGAATTGTATCTTCGATGTCTAATGTTTTCTAATACGACTGATACTGTCATTACCTGTACTATTCTGGGATTCCGCTTGGTAATTTTATCTGTGCTAAATAGGGTATAACAATTTGAACCGATGTGCATATGTAACAGGTTCTGCTTTTTCTACTACCATTGATGATGTAACTACTTCTTCTGTAGTGAACAGAACACGGGTGGGGACAATCGGATGTACTTGGCACAAAAATTACAGACCATCTCAATAAAATCTGAAAACTATATAGTAAATCGTCAATTTGCGAAATATCAATCCATCATATGAAACTAACTGTTCCTGTTGCAAACATCAATCCATTGTCTCCAATTTCATTGTTCATGCGTTTTCATATAGATTGCATAGTGTTCTCGCTCTTCCTTTCTTGATCTTTTTCCATCTTCTGCTGCCAGACATTACGTTTTGAACTCGCGTCATATACTACTTACATCAATATAAGTAGCACGCACCACACTACTAATCTGACATGTCTCGATAGTTTCATCTTGTTATGTTAACATAGTATTGAAACTGGAACCGATGCACATCACTTCCAAGTTCTGTATTACTTAAGGTTATTTGACTTCTGTATTGTTTTACAATGTGAACCAGAAAATACACTGGCTAAATCTGATCCATGTTTAATAACTAAGTAATTGGTTAACTTAACTATTTTCCATCAATATAAACAATTATTATCAATAGACTTTGTTTTTTCTTCACTTTTTTCCGTTTTTATTCATATTTATCATTAATAGACAGTTATTCAATTATTCACCCGGTGAATTACAACGATTAACAATTGCGGCTGTATGTTTTTATCAACCAGATATGATATTTATGGATGAATCTACAAGTCAATTAAATGTAACTGATGAAGCACAAGCCTATTTAAGTCTTTTTAAAAGAAATATTACACCAATTACAATTGCACATCATAATTCTGTTCGACAATATCATTTGATGGAATTACAATTAATGTCTATCGATGAACAGACTACTATTACTACTACTGAAACAAGTCAATTGAAAAAATGGAAGTTGATTAAAATTGAGTAAACTATATATATATATATATATATATATATATATATATATATATATATATATATATATATATACATGTGCAATCTCATTATTGTCACCGTGTTAGACAATTTAGATTATTCTCTCCATATTTTGTTTAAACGTCAACTTATGAGTTTTAGTCATTTCTTCCTTTCTGTTTTTTTTTCTATCATCCTCTATGATAGTAGTAGTAGATTGTAATCTTTTTAAAATAATAATAATAATAAACTTGACCAACATGTATTTGTCATATTTGTAACTGTTAGTGCAATAAATGCGTCTATTGTTACTTGTTTTATGTGTGTAATTCATATTTCACAAATACGTTTTCTCAAGTTCCTACGGTTTGTTGGGTCTGTTTGGTTTTTCAACAACAATAAAAAAAGAATTTCTGATACCTTTATATTGATATTTTTTGAAACTTGTAGGTAGGTTTGATTTCTAAACTATTTTATCAATGATTATACATTTTATTCTGTAATATTGTTGAAATTAGTTGCAATAAGCTTACTGACATCTCTTTAATTCCTCAATTATTTAACTGTAGTTTGTAGAGTTATATTCACAAAGTATTGGATATTTCTGTTTAAGATGTATTGTGTTATTTCAATCAGTTTCTAAATTTCACGACAGAATTTATAATTAGGAGTATTGAAATAACAGAAATTTTGATTCATTTTGGTTTGAACAATAATTTTAGTTAGTTAATGACAACTGCCAAATATACCTAGAAGATATATCTGTAAGTTGTGATCACTAAAACAAATTGATGAAATTATTATCAAACCTAAGATGTAATCGCTTAAGTGTTTACTGTTTGTTTAATATTTTTCACATAAATATGAAGGGTTTTTAAAAAAATTTGTGTACATTGTCTTATACCTACCCACATTTATTCAGCGATTGTTATGGTTGATTATTTACGCGGTCGTTGTGAATGTTTCAGTGATAGATGCAGGTTGTCTGTTTGGGATCTGAGTGATCAGTGGTTGAAAGTGTTGTGTGACAGGGCTTATAGTTGACTAGAATGTCACAGATACACTAACTCATTGTCGTCCATCAGATCTTGACTTTTATTACCCTTTCAGATTTACGTTTACATTTCGTTCTTTTGAATCATATTTTCAATTCGTAGTCTTCCTCGCTGTTATTCTTATCACACTTCTTTTAAATTGTCTGCCATTCACTGTGTTAACTTTGCATCCTTGTGTTGATATGGTATGTTAACATGCACAAGCTCCACGTTGATTATTACTTATCAACTTTCAATGGTTATTAAGTTTAAAAATAAGTGGTACTAGTCTGATCTGGTGTTTAAAAGTCAGATCCCATGATTGTAAGTGCTATTAGAGTAGTAAGCAATAATCTGAATTCATAAATTTTTTTGAAATCTTGAAGGTGTGTTATATAAGCAGTTGCTATTCAGTACGGTTTCATTTTCATACATTAACTTATTATGTTGATCTTGAGTTTTTACCAGACACATTGTATGTAGTAACCCTACTGTTTAAATACAAAAAACAAATATGCGAGGCGAAGATTTTATTCTACATGAAATTAGACCAAGTGAAAACTATTTTTTTCTACAGCTTAGAATCTGTTATTATTCGATTAGTGTCTTTAATGGTATGTCAAAAAAATTTTCAAAACCTTGTCACCCTTGTTTACTGAGATTTACATAATCCATGTGATGAAATTCAATGCGATTATTTCGTTGTTTCATGTTTTAATCAACGACAAATTGTAAGTTTGTATGTACATATCTTTAATGAACTGAATAAACCACATCCATCAACTATCGTGACTGAGTGAGAATATTCAGTCCTCGTTACTGAGAAGAGGCTATTATGGAGTAGCAACTTTTTTTCATACTGTTAGGACACACTGACTGAAGTGAACTAATTTAAGATCAGAAATGCTTAGATTTGTCCGGTAACGTCGGCTATTAGTATACTGATTTTATCACATCATGTAGCGTATTAGATATGATAATGCCTAGAAATTCAATGTTTATTACATACGAACCAGGTTTCCATTTGCCTGAACATCAAGACTTTTGTATTTTGCCAAAATCCATTGTGTTTAGATCTCGACTATCGTATTCTTTCTATTTTATATCTCAACGACATACTAATTCCTTTTACAATTCCTATTATCACAGTCCTTTGGGAATTGAAAGTGTATGTTTATCAGCCTTCGGAAGTGCGAAATTATACAATCTGATAAACTTAGAGAAATTGTTGCAAATGAATACGAACGCATTTGTATAATTAAGGTCTACTTCGTTATCAGTACTTCTCTAATAACAGATCTAGTCCTAACATTGTGGATTTGTTATGATGCAACTGGCTTATCTATACGATCATACGTGGAAGCTACATCATTGTCTACACTGTCTCATCGAATCCTAACAATCAGCAATATATGATAAAGGACACTTTTAGTCTGGAGATAGAACAAGATTTTTAGAGTGGGCTGCACAAGAATAACCACATATGAAAGGCCGAGGCATGCCATTCGATGAATTTAAATTAATCCTTCCTGCCTTTTCAATTGTTTGGTTTTTCACTTCGTGAAAATCTGAATATCGATTTTCCCAATGTTTTTGTAGTGACTGACGTTTATCACGAGAACACGACTGGTTTAATAAAAACAATTATTATTATAACCAACTGTACCAGTGTTTGTTTTAACGTGCTTTTGTTTGACTGTGCTAATGACAGCTATTTTGTGCTTCCATTCTTTCGCTTTCACTTCGATTGTAACTTCGCGCGAATTCGGTTACCTTCTGTAACCAAGGTTGTATCCTGGCACGATCTCGGTATCCTTTCGATGCCACGAGATCGCCAGCTAATAAACCTCGACTTGGTCCATTAACTGTCTTCTGATATTTGGCTTCTCGGGGATTTTATGGAGTCATTTGGAACGAGCTTCTTACGCCTTCTGATTCGCTTGGCACGTGTTTCTTGGTAGCGGTGTTCATAGTTAATCTCAACTCGACGCCATGCTACAATTGGTAATCCCAATTCGACCACAATTGGTAATACCAACTCGAATACAATTGGTGACCCGTATTTTGGAACACGCCTCAACTTCTGATCAAATCTTCCAAAGAAGCCAATTCGGTGAGTCTGTGATTTATCTATCCACGTCTGTCGTATATTTTCATATTTTTAATATATCATATAAGCGACATGACGGATAACGATAAGAATAGTATTAATATCATAGACTCCCATGTATGTGTATCGTATCCTTGGCACTTTTTTTCGCGTGACGGTAAATTGCACGCTTTATTCGAGAAATTTTCCCCTATTAACTATTCTCCTCGCTGACCCGGCTGCTTGGTACGGAATGCATACGCATACGCATAACCGTCTACCACCCACCACCAAATGGTTAAGTTGAACGGTTTCACTGCCAACTTAAAAGTGCTCTACGAGCACACAAAAACGGCAACTGGCACGAAACCTTACCGCTCGTTCTCTTAGGCATCAGAACGAGCTTGAAGGCAGATATACAATGTTCCGACGCTGAACTGGTATACGGCACGACATTGCGTCTGCCCGGAGAATTCTTCACACCACGGAGCAGACCTGATTTCGGTAAATCAGACTACGTCCACCGACTGTCTGCATTTATGCGAACGCTGTCTCCAGTGTCAACTCGAATACAACATCGACAGGTCGCTCTCCCTCAAGAGTTATCTACCTGTTTACATGTTTTTGTACGACTAGATTCGGTACGCAAACCTTTGCAATAACCTTACGAAGGCCCTTTTCGCGTGATCGCTCGTCACGAAAAGACCTTCAAGGTTGATCGATATGGACGCGTCGAGATCGTCACCGTTGATCGTCTCAAACCAGCACACGTCGATGACAGTGCCCTATCTGACACCCTGAGATTCAATGCTTGACCTATCAAACCTAGCGGGATCCTTAAATCTTCTTCAGGTCCCACGCTAGATGCATCTGAGACCTCATTCTCACGTCCCAGTCAACAGCACGCGTCATCTGCACCGTCTACGGACGAGACGACAGTCTCACGCCCAGATCAGCAGACCACGCCGCCCTTGACTTCGGATGAGATTGCAGGCTCACGCGACGCGAACGAGACTGCCGTCTCACGTTCCGGTCGCCGAGTACGGTTACCCGTACGCCTCCGCGACTAGTCGCACAGTCAACAACCGATACGGTGTAGGATTATTCCTATACTACACGTATGCTACACTCTTCTTTTTTTGATTTTCCTTTTGTTTCCTGAGCCCACGCCTTCGACCATCTCCGTTTGGTTCCGTCGACTTCAGTCAACTTTGGCGAAAGCTGGATTGGCCACCCACGCTCTTGTCAACGTACTCAGTCGATATATTGGTTTCGAATGCTTGGCATACGCTTGGTCGTTATGGTCGCTTCTGGTCTTTTGGCTCAACGTGGTTTCGTCCTTCGTCTGCAGCGTTTATGGTCCGGACCCGTACGAACGCCCTCTTCAGATTCTGGATACAAACCACTCTCGTGTAGCATGCCAACTCAAGCAATACATACAGCACATCGCTCCTGGTACTGTTCTCCGAAAACGACCTTCGTTGGCAACTCGACGATCAACTATCGCTTTCCTGTTCGCCAATTCTTCCGTCCTACAATCGCTCGTCAGCCGATTAGTCCCACGATTCAAACCGCTATTTATCGAAAGTGTAAACCCTTTCTAGCGGGGGGCTCCTGTAGTGACTCACGTTTATCACGAGAACACGACTGGTTTAATAAAAACAATTATTATTATAACCAACTGTACCAGTGTTTGTTTCAACGTGCTTTTGTTTGACTGTGCTAATGACAGCTATTTTGTGCTTCCATTCTTTCGCTTTCACTTCGATTGTAACTTCGCGCGAATTCGGTTACCTTCTGTAACCAAGGTTGTATCCTGGCACGATCTCGGTATCCTTTCGATGCCACGAGATCGCCAGCTAATAAACCTCGACTTGGTCCATTAACTGTCTTCTGGTATTCGGCTTCTCGGGGATTTTATGGAGTCATTTGGAACGAGCTTCTTACGCCT